TGAACCACTCTTCCTCATAGACCATCCACCTCATGAGTGACCGTAAGGCTTTGTTGAGTGACCACATTTGCCTATGAAACCAGTCTCTGCCTTTGACAGCAATTCCTGCAAACTGCTTTAAGGCTTGAGTAAGACACTATAAAATTGTTAGACCACTAAAGCTAAGTTCTTTTGGCGATGTTAACATAGTCTCTGTGAAGTAAATGGAAATTAAGTTCTTTCTTTAACTTTTAAATGTTAGAATTACTGTATTTAATCTCTCCTCTTAGTCTTCTTGTGAGCTACCCATCATAGCACAGTCATCTTCTGCTGGGTGTCTGGTTTGGAGGCAACGCTCAAGGTAAAAATGCCACAAGTAAAGCAAATCCAGTGTTGTCAGCTGTTTCCGCTCCCCATACTCCAGTTTCAAGCCCTTTCCTTCCCCCCACTCCAGGGCTACACAATGACGGCTCTATTGAAGCATCACTCAGGCTGCTAATAACAGTGTCAACATTGGGACAGGAGCATGTTTGGCTGTTGGCTGACTGGCGAGGTGCTGAGTGACACTGAGAGATGAAGTAAAGAGTTACTGTGAGGAAACAAAAACAGAGGGGCTGGAAAGCACGGCGGGTCTATCAGGATCCGGAAGACAAACCCAGGTTTGACGTTTCAAACATCACCCTTCATAGTCCTGAGGAAAGCTGGTGCTGAATCTATAATCTCTCCACTCTCTCTCTCTCTCTCTCTCTCTGAATTTCCTGTGTTTCAGTGTCACATCTGCTATTGGAATACCATTGTATACTATAGTATGATACATTTTACCATATTATAATTACTTTGGAAGAACTTACCTCGCCTAAGGCATATGGTACTGAATATCAATGTTGCTCACGCTAGGTAGAATAAATAAAATAATAACCCTTGCATTAGATATAGTGCCTTATCACATCTTCGAGACATCTTAAAGTGCTTCACAGAATATACTGTGAAGTGAACTGACTGTATATATTTTGGGCGAAAAACCAAAGACCCAACTAATATCTACACTGAAAATATTATGCTATTAACAACAAAGAGTCATAATCTCAAAACAAGGCTACAGTAGATAGCACTATGGCCTCTGAGTCAGAAGGTTGTGAATTCAAGGTCCATGTCGGACCTTTCAATTTACACTCTGGGTTTCCACTCTGACACAATGCTGCGGGGGAGGGCACTGCAATGTCGGAACCGTTATTCGAATAAACTTTAAAACAAAGTCCCATCTACCTGTGCCATTAGACTCTATAGAGGTCCTATGACACTACTTAATATCCCACATAAGATTGGTTCACTTTTGTGGCTGTTTGTGGGACATTGCTGTGTACAAATTGGCTGTTGCATTCGCTTACAAAATACACTTTATACACTTCATAGTGAATCTTGAGAAGTACTTTGCGACGTCTTCACAATGTGAAAGGCGCTATATCAAATGCAAGAATTATTATTATTATTAAAGCTTCTCAAGGTGTTTGACAGTTTTACATCTTTTATGCTCCATCTTCCAGCTGGACACAGTGTCTCCTTTGACCATCTGTTGAGCACTCAGAAGACTGGATCTGATTCCCCAGCGATAATATATGTTCATTCCGAAGTGAATAGTGTTTAGTAGATAATATTCTTATCAATAGCTGACGCCTCCTGTTCTTAAATTATTTCTAGTTTTTACTTGTATTCATGTTATTTGCATAATCTCCTTATTCTCAAGACATTTTCCTCAATTTGTTCCGCAGGGCATTTTATTTTGCCATGTCCATGTTGAATTACATTTAGTTAGGGGGAAAGGAAGACTCACTTAGTATTATTAATTGTCCAGGGTGATATGGAATCACAACTGGAAATGATATATACAGATACTTCACTAAGTCAAGTTATATTAGCTACAACACACACACACACTCACACTCACACAATGAAAACAAATCTAGACTGTAGGAGAGCATGAAAATTGAATCGAGATCTGAATGCTGTTCAGAAAAATGTGTGAAAACATCAAAGAAACCAAGTCTCAAGATGTAATTTTAACAATGCACTAGAAGCAGATGTGCAGGTACAAGGGTTCGAGTTGTCTGAATTGCATCACCCTACGATTCCCTACTCATAGCAGTCCCAGCAATGCACGTTTTAATAAAAAGTAATTGGAGTTAGAAACCTCACACAGTCAAAAGAACAGACTGCATGCTGTACCATGAACTCCCCGTATCATGGACTGGTTCTCCTCATCTATCAATCCTAAACAAGTCCGAGACCTGGTATAACATGAGGGTTTGCAAGAAGTAAACCACTTGGGTTGTGGCCAATGTAGCTCACCATTGCCAGCAGTGCTCAAGAGCTTTAGTAGAGCTTCGATTTACCTATTTTACACAGAAGGCGGTGAGAATATGGAACAGACTGTCCAGGGAGCCGGTTTGCCAATTAGTGAACACAATACATGGAAGGGGTGTGAGAGTATTTTATGGAGTAGGGACTGAGTGAGGGGCAGCAATAAGAACATAAGAAATGCTAGATGAAAAAAAGACCGAAGTCCATCTAGTTCGCCTTCCACCTTCCTAGTGGTTGCATGCTTCAACCATCTCCCTAAAGAGCCTGTTCCACAGGTTTACCATACGTCCCAATAGTCATTTCCAGCCCTGTACATAAGCTACCCTGAATGAGGGGCACTATATAAATGCAAGTTGTTGTTGTATATCTCTCTGGATTATAAAGGCTCTCTGGATTATAAGGAAGGCACCACTTGGTGGTTTACATCCGTTTCTGATGTTATGCTCCATTTACTGAGGTGACAAGACGTTGGTGAGGAGGCTGCTAATTGAAGTGCTGCAAGTGAATCATGTCTTTTTAAAAGCCAGGGATTGGAAAGCACTTGAATTATTACAATGCCATCTCATACATTCAATTAGTGGCCACAGACACATTCTGTTATGAAGCACATGCACCAGAGAAATGCAGGTAATTCAGTTCCACTTCCTTTAGATTGTAAACTGAACATGGTGTGAAGTGACCATATAACAGGATTGTTCTTACACCAGTGTGAAAATGGGGTTTCAGGGGCATCTTTGAACAAAAAAGTTACTTTAATGATGGAAGATCAGAATATCTCCTAGATATCTCCTGGCTTTAGCTCGGACATAGGCAGTGGGTAACTGGGGCTAGAGGGGGCTCGTCCATCCCTCGAAAAAAAATCTATCTACAGTTCACCTCTTTAAGGGAAGCAGGGAGGAGATAGCCCTAAGGAGGCTGATCCTTTTTCCCTTCAGCGATAAGTTATCAGATCACCGTTGACTAGAGAGACTCCCAAATGTCAGACTCACATGTGTCAGGCTGGCTTAGTTGGTAGTACTCTCACGTCTAAGTTAAAAGATTGTGGGTTCAAGCCCCATGTTGGAATTTGGAACTCATCTCGTCTAAGCTGACATTTCAGTGCAATGCTGGGGGGATTGCTGCATTGTTAGAGGTGCCGTCTTTTAGAATAGACATTAAACTGAGGCTGGTAACTGTTCAGGAGGATGTTAATGATCTCGTGACACTATCCGAAAAGAAAAGGGAGTTTCTCCCAATGTCCTGGCCAACAACTCCCCCAAATAAAATTCATTGTTCATTCTATGGCTCTTTGTGGGACATTGCTGTGAGCAAAATGGCCTGCTGCATTCACTCAGAAAACACATAAGCATTACACTTCATAATGCCAATCGACTAACAACCAGGTTCCTATTTACTGCTAGGTAAACAGAGGCGTGTGGAGTAAGGAAACTTGCCCAACGTTTCATCCTGTCCGGGAATCAAACCCAGGTCCTCTTTCTTGAGACACTAAGCTACAGGACTCCGTTATTATATGAACAGTGAGCTGCCAAACTGGTCTGAGGCGAATTCTAGTTCAGCCTCAAATCACAAAAAGCTTTCTCATTTCCTGCAACAGGAATGAAAAAAATTAAGAGCTGAACATGGTGTGCTATGAACATAGCGCAGGACAGCTGTGGACAGCTCTTTAATCATCAACTGAAGGGAACAGTAACAAGCATCAGAGAGGTAATTCATTTAGTTACACTTAGGATATTTTATTGGGTATTTTTTCTCCTCAGATGCAATTGTCAATTTGATCACATTATATAAAGGCTCAATATTCAGTCTGGCAGGACGGCTGCAAGGATGTTGGGCATTGGTGGCAAAGAGAAGCAACAATTAACATGTGGCCATGATATTAGCAACTGGCTTGAGCTACTGTTTGGGGTTTGGTTGTTTGCTTTAGGTAGTTTACGCTCAAATGTCACTTGAGATTTGCATTACAGAAAGCAGGTCCAGAAGTACTGGCACCTGCAGTGCCAACAATCTTGTTTCTTAATCGGGGCAGCCAAGGGAGTGAAATTGACTTAGACAAGGATTTGCAAATCATGGAAATTCTGTTGCTGCACAAGAGAATAAGACCAAAAGAGCCAACGGTATCTGGTTACACAGCAAAAACCTACTGAATGTCTGTACAAAAGACTATAACTTCATATTCATATTCTGTCAAGATCATGAGCAAACTCACTTTTCCTAAATTTGCCCCCAAAGTGTGTAATATCATGATCTACTTGCCTCCAAAACTATACCTTACCATCAGGCCTATTCCTACTGCTTCTCCAACTAGGAGAACCCTATCTGATAGGGGCTTTGGCTTGAAGGTTTGACAGGAGCCGAGTGAGAAGAATCCCAGCCCCTAGTCACTGGTCTGCTTCTCCCTGCCAATGAGGCAGGCTGGTTGGTCTGTCATCAACATTGCTTTGAGTATTATGGACTCTGCCTGGATCAAAAACTAAACTACTGAGACTGTCAGAGAGGGCTCACTCAATTCTGATATTCCATTATTATGGAGCCAGCGCTTATCTTATCTTTCCGATCCTGTTTACCTTCATGCAGGAGAGTGTCTCGGAGAAATGCCCTAAAAGAAGTGCAATCTACTACAGTGCCGACGTTTGGAGTTAAAAAAAACAGAGAGATGTACTCACAATTGAACACTGTCTCGATCTTATCATTGACCTGAAGGCTGTACAATATAATTTGAAACAAGATGTGAAGCAGCAGAAAGGTGAGGCTTGTAAAACACAAGGTTTTCAATAAGCGGCCCGTGTGCCCTGGAAAACAAAGAGCAACAGTGAGCTGCAATTATATCAAAACATGTATTAAGCACAGGACAAGGCAGTAGAAGCTACACAGAGTTTTGTAAAGGAACTAGCTAGGTTCCTGTAAGTTAAAGAAATAATAATCCTTGCATTTAATATAATAACTCCAACAAATTACATTTGCACAGTGCCTTTCACATCGGGAGGACATGCCAAAGGGCTGGAGCACCTTGTCACATCATCTAACACCATATAGTACCTTGTCGCATCATCTTAATGACTTCACAGGCTTTACTGTAAAGCTGTCAGCCTGGTAGCACTCTCGCCTCTGAGTCACAAAGTTGTGGGTCAAACCTAACTTTAAGCATAAGGTCCCAGGCTGACATGCCAATTCAATGCTGGGAGGGAGCGTTGCGTTATCACAGGTGCCGTCCTTCAGATGATACACTAAACCCCCTGCCATTTCGGGTGGAAGTTAAAGATCCAATGGCATGATTTGAACAGAAAAGGGAGAGTCTCCTGGTGCCCCGGCCAGCAATTCCCCAAATAATAATTGGTCATCCACTTCATGGCTGTTTGTGGGATGTTGCTGCATGCATTTTGGCTGCCATATAATTCAGGCAAACATGATGGACAATTTTGTAACTATGACTCCCTTAAATTTTGTCATGGGCAGTATTTGACTAGTACTCAAACATCAGTATTGTGACTGAGACAGGTTAGTTTATGCCTCACACTGTTTTTCTTGTGGGCATTAAGCAACTGGAGTTTGGATTTGACAAAGGAGTCTCAAAGTTAGATATTAAATGTCCAGCACTTACAACAACATCAAGATTTCATTTATAGAGTGCCTTTCACGTCGGGAGGACGTCCCAAGGTGCTAGACAGTTGGGTCGGGAACCGAGCAGGGGGGAAATGGTCAGGATGAGGGGAGGGAAGGGAGGGAGCGAGGAGGGGGGAAATGGTCAGGATGAGGGGAGGGAAGGGAGGCAGCGAGGAGGGGGTAGAGAGTCGAGAGGGGAGCTGAAGGCACGGTTGAAGAGAAAGGTCTTGAGACCGGCCTTGAAGGAGGAAAGGGAGGAAGCAAGGCGAAGGCACTGGGTATGGAGTTCCAGAGCCTAGGGGCTGAGAGGCTGAAGGCCCGGCCACCGATGGTAGGGCGATTGGGGCGGGGGATGTGGAGCAGACCGGAGCCAGAGGAACGGAGGGTACGGGCAGGTAAGTAGGGGGATAGTAGGTTGGAGAGGTAGGAGGGAGCAAGGCCGTGAATGGCCTTGTAGGTGAGGATGAGGATCTTGAAATAAATCCTCTGGGGGATGGGGAGCCAGTGGAGGCGAGCGAGGGTGGGAGTGATGCGGTCGCGAAGCCTGGTGCGGGACAGTACACGAGCTGCAGAGTTCTGAATGACCTGCAGCTTGTGGAGGGAGGTGCCGGGAAGGCCGGCGAGGAGAGAGTTCCCATAGTCCAGCCTTAAGGTGATAAAGGCGTGGACCAGAGTTTCAGCAGCGTGAGGGGTGAGGTAGTGCCACAGTCTGGCGATATTTCGGAAGTGATGGAAGGCGGTGCCAGTTGAGGCGCGGATATGAGGGAGAAAGGACAGCTCAGGGTCGAACAGAACGCCAAGGTTCCTGACTGGCTTTGAGTGGAGCAGCCCTTACCTCAATTGTTTGTTAAATACACAAGACAGAAAAATTAGTTTCTAACCAAAGATGCATTTAAAGTCTAACCTCCATTGGTTAGACACAAATTTGCTTTTTACTGTAACCTTATAGCAGGATTTCCATTATTTATAATCCTTACACTTACATTTGGGATGCTTACAATTGCTAGAGCGCCTATAGTTTTTACCGATCAGCATAAAAAGAATCCCAAATCTATATAAAATGCAGTCATTTATGGCTCCCAAATACCCAATTCGTTTTATTTTAAAAAAAGCGTGACATAGTAATAATAACAATAATAACAACCATTGCATTTGATATAAATCCTTATCACATCGTCAAGACAAAAACAACAAATTGCATTTATATAGTGCCCGTCAGGCAAGGCAGCATCCCAGAGCGCTTGACAGTGGCGGAGCACAATGCTGAGTCTTGAATTTACTGTATATTTTGTGGGCAAAAAGACGTCTCAAACTGCTTCACAGGATATACTGTAACGAGAATTGATGGTGTATTTTGTGTTGGCAAAAATAGTGCTTCTTAATGCAATGGAAATGCATGGTTCTCACTCAACACTTCTCAATTTCAGACATATGCACTTACAAAACATAACCCTTATGGGGAGAGGCTCGGAGAGCTGAACTTGTTCTCATTATCGACAGCTGGATCAGGTTACCAGGAAGAGTGGTAGAGGCCAGGACAGTCGACATGTTTAGGAAACAGCTCAAATAATGGGTCAAAGAAGCATGGCTGAATATGGTGGAGTTTTAGCAGGATTACTCAGAGAATATCTAGACAGACAGACAACAACAATAACAACGCTTATATAGCGCGCTCCGTGCAGGGTAGAGTCTCAGACAACGTCTCCGTCTGACAGAAACACAGAGAGACAGGAAGGAGTAAAAAAGATCCTTCAAAGATGTTATATAGCGCCTGTATTGGCACTCTTGCCTCTGAGTCAGAAGGTTGTGCGTTCAAGCCCCACGTCAGGACTCTGAACTCACATAGTCAAGGCTGATACTAAGCGCAGTGCTAGGGCTGTGCTGTATTCTGAGATGTATTTCCTTCAGCTGAGATGTTAAATCGAGGTCCCATCCTCCTGTTCATGTGGACAAGGAAAATTGCATGGGAATTAGGTAGGTGCTTGAAGAGGAGGAATATTAAAAGGGAAAAGAGCAAACAGGGTAACATAGTTAGCTGGTTCGGGGCTGGGGGGAGGGTTGAAAAGGGCACTTAGGCTTGATGGGCCGAATATGCTGTGATACTCCTGAGATACATGAATTTCCAGGAAAGGTTCAGCCTAGTCCATTCCCAAACCAAAATGTCAGTGTTAGAGAAATAATGCCAGAATACATAAGAAATACGTCTTAACAATTAGGAGAGACAGATTGAAGTGCAATAACAAACCTACCAGCTTGCTCAATGTTTATAGCAACTGAAAGGTTTCTGGCACCAGTAGCAGATTTTGGGATGTAAAATGAATTCATTTCCTATTCTTTATTTCATGTTTGACACGTATTATATTTTACGTTGCTGCTGGCCCAACAATGATTGATTGCACAGTGACCAGGATTATGGGACACACGGAACAATGTTTACGAAAGGATCCTTCCACTAAAGTGACCCCGTTTTTAAGGAAAAACAATATGTATTTTATAGTTATACCACACAGACACAAGGGTTGATTGTTTGCCATTATTCAAACATCAAGATCCTTTTATGTTATTTTTGTTTATCATTCATTGAATTGCCCCTATTTCTGCCCAAGCAGGAATGTTGAATTTTTCTATCAGCCTGGCTCCATGAGAAATTGGACCGCTCAATTGGAGCTCACCCATGGCAATCTCAGGCTAGCTTCTAGACAGGAAATGCACTTTTTTGACCCTTGTATTGCAACAAGGAATCCCGTAGCGAATTGGTTAGAGCACTGACCTTGCAAGCGAGAGAACCAGGGTTCGATTCCTGGGTGGGGCGAAACCTTAGGCAAGTTTCCTTACAACAACAACAAGATTCCATTTATAGAGCGCCTTACACGTCGGGAGGACGTCCCAAAGCGCTGGACAGTTGGGTTAGGACCCGAGCAGGGGGGAGATGGTCAGGGTGAGGGGAGGGAAGGGAGGGAGCGAGGAGGGGGGTAAATGGTCAGGGTGAGGGGAGGGAAGGGAGGAAACGAGGAGGGGGCAAATGGTCAGGGTGAGGGGAGGAGGGGGTAGAGAGTCGAGAGGGGAGCTGAAGGCACGGTCAAAGAGAAAGGTCTTGAGACCGGCCTTGAAGGAGGAAAGGGAGGAAGCAAGGCGAAGGCACTGGGGGATCGAGTTTATCTTACTCTACGCTGCTTACTCTACTACTCCTCTGCTTACTTAGGAGTAAGTAGGAACCCAATTGTTAATCGATTCGTGGATCACTTTCTGGGGGTAATAATTCCTTCAAAATAAACAAATAATAATTTAGTCCCTCAATCCACAACTGTTTGTGGAACACTGCTGTGCGCAATTGGTGTACATTTCGCCCTCAAAATATATGGATATGTATTTCGCCAACAAAATATATTCTGTGAAGCTCTTTGAGACATCTCAAGATGTGATAAGATGTTATATGAATTACAAGGATTATTATTATATAGTTTGGAATCACGAAATGTCTACAGTATATCCCGTGAAGCACCTTGGAACATCTCAACAATGTGATAATGTGCTATATCAAGGATTATTAAGATTATTATTATAAGAGGATTGCAAACTGATGGCTAAGAGACACAAGGAGCAGGTATAACTGAGACAGAGGTGAGAACTTCGTAAAAGTGGAGGAGGTTTCTTCAAACTGCAGTAAGCCAGTTCAAGTCTTATTTGAAGGATAGCACTTCTAGCATTGCCTTGCAGTCTAGGCCTTGAACTACATGAACTACACTTCAAAGTCCTGACGTGGGGTTTGAATCTAAAATTTTCATGACTCAGAAGTGCTACTAACTGAGCCAGGTTGACACAGTAAATTACATTGCTGTGAATCAAACTATGGTGATAGATTGTAAGCCAATAACCTGTTTGAAATTAAACATATATAATGCAATTGCAATTTTAGTTTTGTTTAATTTTCATTGAAGACAAATATTTGCCCTCAGAGTAACACAGCCAGTCTATTGACTTTGATTTTGTAGGTCTAAATTTTTATTGCTCTAAATTTCCCAACAACGCAGCTTAGCAAGTTATAAAGTAATCAAAGTTTAGATCTAAAGCAATAAATGTGGCAGTTCTGTTAAAATATTTGCCTTTGATGCATACTTTTTAAATGAGAAATCACATATGTGTAAAGTCCAACTGTTTCAGTAAAATTAATTTATCCAACATGATTGTG